TCAAAACCTCGGCAATTTCTAGACTGCCTACCGCTGCCTACTGCCTACCGCTACTTTGTGTCTCCTTTCTCGAGGAAGCCGTGCACCCCGAGATAAGCCACCCCCTTTACGTGTGTCCCTAAATACTGCCAAAGAGGCTGAAGACACACTCCTTCTCTCGCGACAACCGGACGTTGTTAATGCCTGTAAAATTCGGGCCAGGCCTGACAAGCCATGGTCAATAAGAGAGGAGGAGAGAAAGTCAGCGGTTGGAAATCCCAACAGAAACAACACTATAGTTGTACATGGGATTCCAGAATTGCCAAGTGACCGCTCGGTCAAAGATCGGTACTTTCACGACGTCCAACAATGGCAATGGCTCTCAACCAAAGTTGGTCTCAACAGTATACCGGCCAACAGCGTCAGTAGACTGCCAAGGCCAGCGCACCTGAAGACCATACCCAATCCCAGACTACTCGCCGTCCAGTTCGACTCATATGCCTCCCTCACAGACGTTCTACAGGCATGGTATAATGCGAAGGATCGCATGGGTGGCTCAATACGTATATGTGAAAGTAAGCCTAGACCCACAAGGCAAGAGGAGAGACGACAACCACCAAGACCTCTGGAGTCAGTGGTCGTCACACAGGCGCTGACCAGTGAGTTAGATACATCAAGTAAAGAAGCCACCACTGCCACAGCCCCCACCCAAGTTAAGAACAAAACACAAAAAACGGAACAATGCCAGTCCTATGAGGACTGGCGAGGGTAGACCCAACCACATAAGCTGTCATCCTGCGAAAATACACAACCAGACCTCCCCCTCACCAGGCACACTCTAATATGTATGTACAGCAACGTTAGGGGGCTAAGAGGGAAGGTAGCAGAAATGAGGACGCTGCGTGCACATCAGCACTCCGACATCATATTCATCACCGAATCCTGGCTCTCGCCAGACATCTCCGACGAAGAGATGCATGTTACTGGCATGGAACTCTTCCGCAGGGACAGGGAACATAGAGCAGGAGGGGAGTGGCTATCTACGTAAACTCTGTTTAAAGGCAAGGATGGTTAGCGATACGGCCTTAACCCAGCTCCCAGAGTCCCTATGGTGCTACTTCACTCTCCACAGTACCAAATACCTGCTCGGAGTCATATATCGGTCCCCCACCTGCTCCCCTACACATAAGGAAATGATCATCAAGGCTATCTTAACGACTTCCTCTGCAAATTACGATTCCGTAGTCATTGCCGGCGACTTCAACACCCCGTCCATCCTCTTCGAGACGGAAGGGAGACGCATCAGATCCTTCAATCAGAAGCTGAAGGATGCAATTAAGACTGCTGGCCTCTCAGAGAAAGTGGGTGATGCTACACGCTGGGGACCTAACGGAAACGCATCGCGCCTTGACTACGTTCTGACGAACGATGAACTTCTCATTGAGGATGTTTGCATCCAACCTCCCCTTGGCCTCAGTGACCACGCTGTAATCACCTTCTCCATGATAACTAGGGAGGCTCTGCAACTGGAGACGCCCAACACCTTCCCTTGCTACAGCAAGGCCAACTATGAGACCATGAGGGACTACCTCATGAATGCATCATGGCCAGTGGACTGGACTCATCTCACAATAGATGAACACTGGTTGGAGGTGAAGAAAATAATCACTGGGGCCATCAGTCACAGTGTACCAGAAGTAACACACAGACAATCAATGAGAACCTCATGGTTAAAGCGTGGGACAGAGAGGCTTATCCGGAGCAAGAAGCAGGCTTGGTTCAAGTGGCGTACATCACGCAGGGAGTCTGACTTCTTGAACTACAAAAGGATTCGCAATCTCTGTAACATTAGAGTGCGTAACGACAGATTTTCCTACCAAACAAACTTGGCAGCGAGGTTACAAAGCAACCCCAAAAACTTGTACCGCTTCATGTCAAGAAGAAAGTCGACCAGTAAGGGAGTGAATCTTGTCACAGGCCATGACGGGAGTGTGCTAAGCAGTCTAGAGATTGCCGAGCTTTTGAGCTCACACTTCCAAGCCCAACTCAGCACTGACACAAGATCCACACCGACTCGCACGACACCGACCAGGTCGCAAATAACGAATACCTCTGTCACGTCTCTATTACAGAGAAAAAGGTGTTCGAGAAGCTATCTAGGCTACGTCCGGGCAAGTCCCCTGGCTGCGATAACCTGAAACCAGTGGTTCTGAAAAACTGCGCCGAGGTGCTTACTAAACCACTTCGCAACCTCTTTGAGCACTCAATAGACTCGTGCAAACTCCCTAAAGAATGGAAGAGCGTCATCTTGTCACCCATCTTCAAGGGAGGAGACAGAAAAAGCCCTGGCAGCTACAGGCCAATTGCCCTACTCCCTATTGTGTCGAAAGTGTTGGAAAGCCTGGTAGCTGACACCATCTGGGAATTCCTCAATAGGAAAACACGTGCATACTGCTCAGCATGGCTTTCGGAGTGGTCGCTCATGTGCCACCAACTTACTAACCGCCTGGGACGACTGGACACAAAGCTGGGATAATAGAAAACCTGTACATGTTGTATTTCTCGACCTAGCCAAAGCATTTGACAGTGTTTCACAAGATCATGTCAGCTGGTATAAGTGGACCCCTACTCTCTTGGTTCAAGGAGTACCTGGAAGGGAGGCAGTTCTGCACTAAAGTGAACAGAATAAGGTCGGAGTGGAGACCTCGACGTCAGGAGTATCCCAAGGAGCAATCCTAGGACCGCTTCTGTTCCTTTTGTCTGTCAACGATCTGCCAGATAAAATATCCTCACCCATCCTCCTCTTCGCTGACGACATAAAAATTTGGAGGGTGGTAAACGAAGAAGCTGATTGTACAGCACTACAAAAGGACTTGCAGCAACTCGAGCTCTGGTCGTCGGAAAATGGCCTGAGCTTCAACCTGGAAAAGTGCAAAGTAATGCACATCAGTAAAAATGAGGCAAGTACGACCGACTTCCAGTACATGTTGAGCAACCGTGCTATCACCAGAGTGTCCATGGAGAAAGATTTGGGGCTCAACTTCTCCGACACCTTGGACACCAGCTCCAACTACAAAGGTATGACAACCAGAGCGAACGCCATTCTACACTTTCTGCGTAGACAGCTTGGCGCCCTCACTCCCGAACTCTTCCTCACCATTTTCAAATCCTACGTGCGGCCGCACCTAGAGGTCTTCAATACGGTGGCTCCTCCAACACTCAAGAGAGACTCTAATCTCCTTGAAAGAATACAAAGAACTGCAACAAAATCGGTTGTGGGGCTAAGGGGAAAGACGTATCCTGAAAGACTTAAACACCTCAACCTATTTACCTTGGGTTATCGCAGGAAAAGGGGTGACCTCATTATGGCATACAAGATCGCCCATCAGGCAGACCATGCAAACAAATCAATTTTGCCTGCAACTGAACGATCTTCACGAGGAAACCCCATTAAGATAGCACACCAGAGAGCCAACACCACACTCAGGTCCAAATTTTTCTCCCTAAGAGTATGCGCTTTATGGAATGCCTTACCGCGACACATCGTTATAGCTCCTTCAGCCGACTCTTTCAAGAGGCGATTAGACAGTTATGTCACCTCGCATGGACTACCACGGACGTACTCAGGTAGTCACCAACCTCACTAGCCCCCAACTCCCTCCTAACTACCACTCACCATCTCCCTCCTTAGTACACCCACATTACCCGCTAATTCTTCTGTAGGAACCAAACCCACGCGACCATTCGCGCAATTCGCAACTACTTTTCTTTCGTTCTTATTCCTCTTTTTCACCCCTCCTTTTCTTCTCCTTCCCCTTTCTCTTCCCTTACTGTTATTTTTTCTTCCTTCTTCTCTTTTTCTTTATTCCCTCTTCATTCTTTCACCACTACCTTACTATTCTCTTTCAGGTACCTACACAGACAGGAGTCACGGCTGTTTTCTAAACTTCCCAGCAACCCGTGGCTCCCTAATCACTCTACAAATTACAACTTACTAACCCACAAAACATCCACCTTACCGAAGCCAAAAGCAAGAAAGCAGAGGGGATTTCCTCGTCTACTGCATGAGTGAACCGAACAACTGGAACCAAGCCCTGAGAACTAGACGCGAGAGATCAAAAACTCCCAGTTTTCTACGCTCGCACTATCAATATTTTATGTTGGGATACGTGTGACAATATTCACTCCCTTCCTGGTCGACTTTCTTATCGATATGAAGCGGTAGAAGTTTTCCGGATTGCTTTTTAATCTCTCCACCAAGTTTGTTTGTTGGGAAAATCTGCCGCTACGCACTCTGATGTTACAGCGGTTGCGAATCCTTTTGTTGTTCAGGAAGTCAGACTCCCTGCGTGATGTACGCCACTTGAACCAAGCCTGCTTCTTGCTCTGGATAAGCCTCTCCGTCCCACGCTCTAACCATGAGGTTCTCACTGATTGTCTATGTGTTGCTTCTGGCACACTGTGACTAATGGCCCCAGTGATTATTTTCTTCATCTCCAGCCATTATTCTTGTATTATTATGCTCGTCTACGTATATAATTGCGCCTGTATACCAGTGTGTGCTTGTATTTCCAAGATAAAATTATGATCACTACTATGGCTAAATGTCCATGTTGAAACAATGTGGCTTGCTGTGTGATTTTTTAAACACTCTTTAGGCATACACACCAGCTTTCAAAAGAGGAGAAACATGCTGTTCTCACTCCCATCTTGAAAGGAGACAGACAAATCCTGAAGTGCTACCGACTTGTAGAACTTCTGTCACTATTGCTGAAAGCAGCTGGAAACCTGATAAGTGACTGGGCCATGGAATGCTTGGAGAAAGAGGGAACACTTCATGAGGACCAGCATAACTTCCAAAAGAATAAGTGCCGCGCATCTAACCATCTGCCGAGGTGGACCTCAAAACTTTATGAAATTGTCTTATTTTCGAGGCGTCAAAAATACCGTTGGAATACACTAAGCTTAAGTAAGTAAGTGCTATGATTGGTCTCAGGAAACAAGTAATTTCGTTTTGTTTCATTGTATGGGATGTTACTCCGTCCCTTGGCGCGACTTGTTTCGTTTGCGAACAGCTGTCCCCGTGGACTTTAAAATCTTCCTATAAATAATTCTATGGACCAGTGCGAGGTTTACTCAAGTCGAGGAGGCTCTTTGGAAGCAGCAGTAACTATTCCTAGAAGGTATGCACGTTAAAATATTCCGCACATCACACAGTGTGCGTGGCCGTTAGCACCCACTGACACTTCCGTCAACTGGACTTATAGTATCTGAGAATGAATTATTAGTAATCTATTTTCTTCGTTTGTCATAAGTTGAAGTATTCATACCAAACCAAACTACGCTTGAAACAAAGTTGGCTGTAAGATAAGGGAAACATTATCAGCAACGCACGATTTTCTTGTTTGAAAGGGGATATGTAGTGTGAATAATCTGATTTATGGGTGATGAATTCCCAGTAACTTAAGTGAGATACAATGGGCTAGTTATTCGCAGTAATGGATTGATAGACTCCAGTATTGTCTACAAAACATACGTGACACTATAAATATTTTAGCTGTCCTTAAAGTATAAGATTTACTCTGATCTTCTACATAGAGTCGTTTATTAGTTATAATAGTAGGAATTATGGTATTCTTTAAGTAATTCTGGCATTCTATAAAGGGTGAGGTCTACCGTGTACGTATGTTGTTAGTCCGGAAACATCCATGAGCTTACATCGGGTTTATTTTTTGCGCGACTTTACATACGATGGTGTTGTGATTAACATTTTGGGTGTACAAAGAATTTTGTAAATTTGAGATGTGGATCGTTGGCTCAAACATTAAGCTTTCAAGCCATGGGTCACAAGTTTAAAACCCACCCCATTTACTTCTGCAGCAGCTACGGATAAGTTTCGTTAGTCTTTACGCAAGTGTAGCCTACAACCTACTTCATAAAATCTACCGAATCAAGCTGGTTTGATTTATACAATCCTAATACGTTTTTCTTAGGTTCTAAACTTGCATGCAACACTTAGGCTGACTGATATTCTTCAGACTTGATAAATCCATGTATTCATCTAATAATATTTTCTTTTAGAACATTATATATCACTTGTTTAAGCGCAAGTGCAATAAAAAAATGAACACTAAGAAAACCAGTACATTGCCATGCAAAAAAAGAATATCAAAACTTAAAGGTTAGAGTAATACATATGATTTCTAGGCATGGAAAAGTACTGTTCCAGAGTTGAGAGGTGTGTAGAATACATCGTTAGATGTGAAGATTCTGTGTTCACTAAAAACCGTTCAGCTGTAACTAGGAGACCCCCAGTGCAGACTCTGAGACAAGAATGTATAAGATATTCTAACTACCAACAGAAGATAGTAGATGGGTTTTCCCTGCTGTGAAAATCCTGTAAGCTGCTAGAGCATGAAACGGAGCTGCAAGATCTAATCATGTCACCAAGCAAGTTTTAGTTACCTTTTGTCGTAAGTCCCGCCAATCGTCCGTGAATAGTAGGGGTGGGTTGAATTGTTAGTGATGACGCTGAAATTTTAGTATCTATATGTGCGTATATGTTCATCATATCTTCATCTTGCGCCTCACTACCTTTTTACTTGATGTACTGATATGAGCTTTGGCAACTCGGATCGTTACGCACTATTGCCTGGTCCTATGTTGGTGATGATAATGATGATATTTGCCTGTAGTTGACTTGTTAAGTGCTTGAATCCTGGTGGTGTGGAGCAGCGAAGTCTGTGAAGCCACTTTACGTAACTGACTATTGAGAAAACCGTAGTTATCAGTGTTATTAGAAATACAAATAATGTGCCGAACATAATCTAATGTGTTCTACTTTTTCACTTGCAGTCATGGAAAACTCAAACGGGACCAAGGAGAACTTATGGATGATTCTGTCAAAATAGCTGCTGTAAGTTAACATGTTCTTTGCTAATGTGGGTATAACTGAAGAATCGTTTTTCTCGTGTATTAGCGGCATGGTTCTAGTCTATTTCATCCAATTATTCACTAGTCGTAAGTTCGTAAACTGAAATAACCACCGCTACCTAGTACAGAAAAGTTACAGAAGCATCTGTTATTTCACAAGTCTAGTTTTCGCGGAAATCTTAGTATCAGTGAACTTGCATTCCTATTTTGTAAATTTTCCACTTAGTCAATATATGATTTATGATCACCGAAAATCGCTATAGTGCTGTTTGCTATCGGCATTTTTGGTACGAAATTTTCTCGAGTAAAACTAGAAAGCTCCCACTTAACCGCTTTAAGTGCTTAAAAACCAGTAGATACTGTCATTTTCAGGTTTTGAAGTAAATGTAGTGGAGACTCAGTGTTTCTACATCAACACTTCGTGTGTTGCTGGTCTGAAATTTTACTCTCCCTACAAAACTGAAGTGGAATTGTATGAAAGTTAACTTTCTGGATGTTGAATTTCATGTGCTGAAAATAAATGTAGCTGTCTGGTCAAAATCTTGTCAAGTAGTATGAATTCCTTTCTTGATCACTGTTTCGTTTATTTTACTCACTTCCTGGCACATCACGTACACTCTGTGTTTATCAATAGTACTCAGGTATTCGTATGATTCAGTTTTGTTTCCTGAATGATGGAATTTTAGTTGCCATGGCTTTTTTATTGCTTAGGTATATGGTCTTAGTCCCTTAAGTATTCACCCTACTTACTGTACAAAGCCTTTTGATATCAGTGTTGTGTATTAATTACATACTATGATTCAACTGTCAGCACCACTTGTTGACTTTAGTTACCTAACTTAGCTGAATTGTCGAGATTTAATGTGCCTAAGGCACCGTATTCAACCTTGCCAAAGCAGTGAGATACTTGAAGCAACGATCCTTATTGTTAAGTCATTGCGAAGAGGATCTAATGATATACGCATTACATTGCAAGTACAAGTTCGGGTTATTTAACTGGGCAGGAGCTAATTTCTGTCAAAGTTTTTACACTTAAAGGGGGCATATTCGCTGTTATCCGTTGCTACTAAGACAGTATTTCCCCTTACTTCAAGTGCCATTCGCATCACTAGTTCATCTGCCGCTTAAGCTTCATAGGGCAGAGCCCACTCTACTTGACTCAAGGTGTGTCCATATTTGACCATTGCAAAAATTAATTGTAATGCAAATTTTCGAAGCTTTATCCCCACGTGACATGAAATTGATATCACATCAAATGGTGTTAATCATCTTAGATATCTATAATGATAGGACAAAGGGCAAGTTTTTTTTGACTGTAGTAAATAGTACAACCCATCAGTTACTCGTATATTCACTGGGTTATTAACCAAACCTAAATGGATGGGGTGGATTCATATTCGTGACCCATTGGTTGTCGAAACCACCTGACTTCAAATATATGCGATAGTAACTATGTTGAATGCTCCCTAACACCTTTGCATTCATCAAAAAACATCTGTCATTAACTCAAAGAAGTGCCTTTATTTTTGAATTTCTTCCGAAGAACCAGTAAATAAGTCTCATTTAATAAAATACTATACCTGTCGAACTGCCTGCTGATGAGGTGTCAAATGCAACTCACAATAAAAGCTCCTGTTGACGATATTGCTAACAACATTGCTGAATTTCACTATAACCCAGTTACCAGTGTCACATTCGATACTTAATTCAGGTGGTATGGTCATTTCAAATCTGACTTTGCTGATCAAGATGCGTGAGAAGCAAGGCCGTTACTCCTAAAACTGGATTTAGGCCAGCATGTGTTAGGTAACATATGCTACCAACACTTTTGACTGAACGAGAGATACAACACTGTAGGTGTCCCATCAATTGGAAAAGCCGGGACTAGCATGCTGTTTCGAATGTCTTCTGAGTACGCGGCCAACCAGTATCAATCTGCAGCCTTTGAGATAGCAGATTACATCAGCCTAAGTGGGTTGGTTGCTAACATAATCTTTATGCGGATACAGAATGCCTGTCAGATATTTACCAACCTTCGTCACCTCTGTTGCCGGTGAGGTATCCGACTACTTGTTAGCGGACGAGTAAACCGCTGCAATTCTTTGACTTATTACACGGTTCTAAGACATGGCCATTGAAAATGGTTGTCTTCACAGCATTGCTTGCGTATGTTAGAATCATCATGTGAAGTGTCGAGGTTAGACGAAAAGTGCTAGGCTAGAAAGGCAAGTCAGTTGATGAGGTGGACCTTCAGTCACTGAAATGGCTTGGACATGTACTGCACATACCGAGCCACCATTTGGTCCTGATTTACAGTGCTAGGAGAGGTTGGAATAGATTAGAAGAAGGCTCAAGATGATCAGATCAACTCGTGACACTAGTCCATAAAGTTGTTGACTGTTAGTATAAGTCATGTAGTGAAGTCGAGACTCCATGCCTAAGGTCTTCGAGACTATGGGAATCAATGGTTTGCGGATCTGAGTGCCTTGGCTGGAAATCAGTCACAGTCTTCTGAAGCTTGAATGTTTTCACTAACCTTCATTTCCAGATTGCTTCTTTCTCCATGCATACACTTTTCTACTACATCACGTTTTCTGTACCCACTTACTCATTTCCCGCTTCTAAGTTGATATTGTAAGTCTCTAAAGTAATTTTAATCTTACCATCTATCTGATTGTTAACGTGCATTTGAATAATGACTACCAGACTTAAAAGATTTGTCGGTCGGTCGAGAATGTTATGTCTTTATAATGATCTGGACATGCATTGGTGATGCTGCCTACAATGTCCGTCTTTACAATCTACCGCATAGCAATGACGGGATCTATTTTGTTTAACTGGCAAGATAGAATGAAATGCAATGCGTCACGATGCCAACAAGATGGGAATAGTGTCGTCGTAGGTGCTCTATTAGAGTTTCAGGGATAATGTTCCACACCGGAAGGTGATTCATAGAGTGGATTAAGATTCATCTGAGGTAAATTTTATGAATTCAAGCCTAAAGGGTGCAGGTGTAACTTAAAAATCTGTTGTTGTTGTTGTTATTGTTGAGTACAATCCATAAAATTGTTCAGTGTGTTTGAACCAATTGTATTTTGTTTCATACTTTCACCACATGTATTGCACGGCGCTTTTATCTTCGATTTAGATGAAAATGTCACGTCAGTCACCACCAACTTCAGACAATCTGACGGCAATCAATACATCTGAAACAAATGCGATGAGTGTTTTACCGCGTCTTTTGCGCACTATGACAAATAGAAATACTCAGGCCACAAATAACGGTAACAACAGTGTAGTTGAAAATAACCAGGCTTTGAATGGCGAGTTAGGCTTCTCAGTATCAATATCTGGATCTGCGGTCAATGACAGTGATTCATCATCCTCTTCATGTTCTTTCATTTCAACTCCATCTTCTTGTTCATCTTTAATTTCATTCCTTTCTCCTGGACATCTGGGACCTGTTGCTGCTATGGCTGCTGTGGCGTTATCTACTGCTGTAACCACTATGTCTGTAAATGATATTCAGGAATCTTCAGGATTAGTAACTTTAGCAACTGCTAGTAGCCTGATTGAAAAGGAATGGCGTACTCGTGCTGCAGTAGCAAACAAGGAAAATGCAAATAATGCCAAGGAACATGCTGAAACAACACTTGCAGTTCAACATCATACTGATTTACTAGCCTCTACTATCCAAGCAAATGCTGATCGAAATCAACAATTCGCTTTAGATGGCTCACCTCCTCTAGTAATTGGTGCCCTTAATACTCCATCTTCTCAGTCCTTATTGAATGATTCTACCCCAGTAACCAGAGCAGTACTTAATGTTCAAAGTAAGTTGTTATAATTACTTTGCATCAGTGTACCGCTTATTTTGTTCCAGTGAAAAAGTGTTACCATAGGTGTAGATATGTTAATACAATGAAATAATTTTGTACAGGTTTGTGTAGTAACTAAGTTATTACATTACGAATCTTTCATAATCTTACACGAAATTGGCTGACCAATACCAGTTCAGTTTCGAGGTTTATATAGATTAAATGGTTTCAATTTGATATTCACCACACTTGGCACAAAACCCACAGATCCTGGGCTCGACCACTGACAAGGTAGGATCATGGGTGCCCCCCCACTGATGAAGAACCCCTGACTAGGACAAAACGGCTATCCAGTGCTCCTAAGTTTTCAATAGCCCTCTAACTGATGTCAGTCCGGGATTGATACCCAATTGAATACCGATTCAGGTGACATTGTGGTTAGTTGCAATAATTGGATTCTACTGATCATGATAGACAAAACCTTACAAAGCAGTACATATTTCCAAGTTACCACACTTCACAATAGTACACAAAAAAAGTGGACAGAAGAAGGATTAAACCCTGGATTAAGCAAAATAAGAAAAAATCAATAGATGTAGACTAGTAAAGTGTTCTTAAAGGGTGAATACGTAGACACCAGTGTGGTCAGTGATCGATTTTGAGCTCTGCCATTGAAAGTTCCCAACCCTTGATTGGGAGGTGAAGCGTGATCGCTACACTAGTTAACACGATATCGTGTTCACCAGTGACCATTTTGAAGTTGTATGTGATGCTAATTGAATCTAACTCATCTATCTGGTACGTATTTATGTACCAGGTTATGAATCAGGTCTAATGTATAAAGTTTCACGATACTACCCATTTGCCGAAATCTAGGTAGGTGAATAGAGATTTGAATCCACTCCTTCGAGGTGGAATGCTTAATTCAGTAAGCCGCGCCTCCACATTGCATGGTTGTGCTATTAAAGACAGATAGACCTTATTAAGACGTGTCAAATACTTCGAAACAACGATTCAAATCGTCTTGCCTGTTGTATTCAAACATTAAGGATTGCACTCATCGTGAGAGCACTTAGTTGATGAAATCTGATTTTTGATTGTACTTCTAACCAGGGGAACATTATGACTCATGAGATTTCTGTTTTTGTTAGATGGAATTATGTCATATCAAAACTCTACAAATGAAACTATTGAAGACATTTCCACGCACATTTTTCTATTACTTTTCTGGACTTTGGTGCTAACCTCACAATGGTATTCGTAATTTACTGTCTAGAATGGATATTTATCACACGGATTTCAGTACTTCTTGAGTTTTAAGAAATTTACGTAATTTTGATGATAGGTTAGTAATATGACATACTCATATTTATTCACTTGAAGAAACACTGAAAACGTAGGGGATCCTGAGCGTTTCTTTTTCTAGTTTAGGACCGTTCGTCAATGGATACTCGATCGCTTTCAAGGTCGAATCTCGCATTTATCAGATGTCACACTAATTACTTGATTTTTTCAATAACTGGGTAAGAATTAAATGATGATAATTTCCCATCTTGTGTGGAGCTGTGGGTCAGTGATTTAGGGAGATGACTATCAACCATTGGGTTCGAGCCCTGCTCCATCTACCAAGGTTTGGGTAGCCAGGTTGTATAAATTGCCTTCGCACTATAGATGTGGCTCATTGCCCACTGCACGGATGTGCTCAAGAAAGCTGAGTGCGTCTGCATCTAGTGTGACATGCCTTCCACTTAGCTATAGCAGCGATAACGTACTAACAATATGATGCGTCGTATTTTAATGTAGTGAATGATTGATATGAGGATTTTTCGGTGCCTTTACTTTTGCAGAATGGTGTTTATAACTTTCATTAAAAATCATTGCCAATTTTCACGTACTCTTTACAGGCTTGGCGGCTTTTATCCGTGAAACCCAAAAACAATGTTCCATGCCCGGTCCAACAACTTCTCTTGAACTCCCTCTAACCTCAGTTTTCCCCCTGCCAACCGAGACCAAATTAACTTCATCATGTACTGTCAGACAGGTCGCTTCACCGTCGTATCTGATACCCGCCTCTACTCCTTCCTTCTTATCGATGGGTCCAGTTCCCCAAAACCTCCCAACAGGCATCGAACACCCTTTGCATTCAGAATCAATACCAGCAGCAGCGGCAGTAGTGAATTCTAACACAGATTCACCACCTATTCAATCAACAGCATTCATATCTTTACAGCCTGCACCAGGTTCTCTAATTAGTCCTTCTGACTTACAACAACTTGTTACTAGCGGAGAATTTATGTCCTCAGCAGCTCGGGTACGTTCTCTGATACATGTTAACCTAAATATGATTGTAGTGACAGACTATCAATTATTTACTCTTATATACATACTTCAATTTGAGCATACTCGTTTGCTCAGATATTTAGCCCAAAATAAGACTGCTTTGTGTATTTCTTCATATCACTTATGTATATTGTTTTTTCTTTAAATTCAGCAAACTCTGCTTGGTCAGTCGACCGATGGATCTACGCGACAACTTTATCTACTTGTACCAAGTGACTGTCCAGTAATCATGCCGAGGGTTTCAAATAACCAGCCAACTATGACTCCTATTCTACAGTCCACATCTCCGTTGATGGAGTCCGTTCCCACAGGTGCTCCAATATTAGAAGCCATATCTCCAGGTGTAGAACCTGAAGACAATTGTGTTCAGATGTCACCAGACTCATCAACATGCAACAATTCACAGCCAACACTAACTTCAGTGTCACATTTGGCTACTACAATGCTTAATCCAATGAATTCCTCAACATCTACCGCGTTATCCACTTTTTTGGCAGGTTTGGAGGCTCGAAATCAGCCTATACAACAGATTCAATTAGGTGGGTTACCTTTGTCTACAGTAACATCTCCACTGTCATGTTCATATTCTAATTCACCATCAGTTCATACCACAGATTCATTGGCTCCCAGTTGTCCAAAACTCCGAATCCCACTTCAAATTTCGGGTCTTCCTATCCACGAACCCAGTTTATTGTCAGTCCAGCAAAATATTTATCCAGTTGCAAATAATTCAGCGAATTCTGTATTAGGCATTGTAAAAAGTAAGTGAAAACTATCACTAATGATAATGATAAATTATCTTGTAGATATGATTTTCAGCATCTTAATTAGACTTTTTTAATTCACGAGAGATTTTATTGGACTTGATACAAATCAAGAAATCAAAAGTACTGTTTGTTTTCATCGAATCTCAAGGGTTTTTTAGAGAAACTCTGCAAGAATAAAGGCTATTCAGCACTCTCTGATAGCAGAAATATTGACAAATAGTTTACGATAATTTATTCAGACAGACAGAAAAAATTAACTCGGAACCTGGCACTGACAGCTACTACCTTAGTGTGGTGGTTGGACCAGACGAGCTACACTAACAGCGGCGCTTATCCCCTCGAGGTCTTATCATACCAGAAAGGTCTGTTGGATAATACTTAGAAGAAAAGCAGTTACATTTGTAATGTAAATTACTATTATGTGAAGGAGATTGAGAGCGAAGTCATACTGCTGGCTAGTTGAGGTATGACAGCAGTAAGGTGTTTCTCTTGAATGACTGGTAGTAACATGCTGATGCTACCTTCCCTTTAAGAAGGATGTGAGGGCGGGGGCAGAAGAGATTGGCCCCAAAAATAGTCCCCTGCTCCATGAACTTCTGATGCTCCCGGTTTGAGTTTTTTCTGTTCGGCGTTGGAACAGTCAAAGCGCTTATCAACCCACCTTATTCAAATGTTGTCACTGTGCATGTTAAGTAAAAAACTGGAAGAATAAAGTTAGCGACCATAAAAACAGATAATTCCTCTAAGTTGTCAGTAAATTTTTATGATTTATAGATCTGGTAACCATTTTCATCGTCGTATCTGAGTAAATTCGTTGCAACTCACATGACGTCTATTTGTTACCTAAATAGGAAGTCAGGACTGTCTCGAACAGTGAAAAAGTTGTCTGCGTACCTGTTGAACGACTTATCTCTTTGGACTGGTTCATATTTTCATTGTACTCCTGTACATAACATCTTAAGGTGAATGGAGTTTATCCCCTTATAGGAATTTATATTGAATGGATTCGGTGTTACCTCCTGATGGATAAAAGTTTACATCGCACACTGGAGCTATGGCTCATTGTTCTAGATATTTGAATTACAACTGATGGGTCATAGGTCTGTAATCCTGCCCCACCTAGTGAGGTCTGGGCAGCTAGGTAGCATCAATAACCCTCAAACAATAGATGCGGTTTTCTACTGCCAATCTATTTGTTATTTATTAGATAATTCGTCTTTGAGTATATTTTAAGAGGAAGGCAGCTATGCTCTATCCATCATTGGTCGTACCGTTGTGTTTGACGACTTATCATCCAAAGGTCTGTCAGATACTTCATTTATGTTCGAAGCATATTTTCTTGTGCTAAGTTCAGTGTTGTTATCCGTTTACCTCACAACCTCTCACTCTCTACAGACTATTTCAGGACTAAGAGTAGTCAGTCTGTATATATCTTACCTTGTCAGATATTTTGTGAAATCTTTCGAAGAAGCTGTAAGTGCTGGCAAACGCCAAACTATAGTGAAACTTGAGGCTATCGCAGATTATATTAGCCACCTATCACGAGTAGTTTGTTGTTATTATGAAAATCTATGAAATGGGCAAACTATCAATCGGACGGTACGAGTACGCACTATGTAAGATGTATGCAACATGCAAATTTGATATCTGAAAAATACTCAAATCCCATCAAGTACCGAACTGGAGTAGCTTGTCCACCACTGACTATCTCCTAAACCTATAATAACATCAATAAAAAAGCTGATGTTCAGACGGTGTCGAAACCTACTAAATAAGGCCGTAAACATACCCATGTTAAATGAACACGGCAAAATGCTAACTTAGAGCCACGCGACTGTGTTGCGCAATCGATGAGTGCCTTGACATTTCGTAATAAGTGTATAAGCTTACAACGATTAAAACACGAGTCAAACGTGACTCACCAATTAAATTTACACGCTTTTTGGGATTTGATTATACTTTCTGTTGTAAGTAGTTTTCAATTGGTTTGGTAAAACTGCTTGTTCCCTGTTGAAAGTCATCAACAGAAGCACATGGTTGATTTGATTTCAAGTTAGTATTCATCATGGACTGAAATCAGTTGGGGAAACATTGGAAACCTGGGAGCGCTGGACAGCTATTTCTTCCTAGTATGGGACTCCGCAGCAGCGCGTGCCTATGCTCCTGCCAGGGATTGTGAACTGACAGAAGTGGTAAATGTGAACCATTAGATCCCCGCCCCAGTGGTTTAATGGTGGTGTGCTAGCCACGAAGCCTGGAGGTCCTAGGTTTGACTCCTGGTGGGATCATGGGAGGTGTGCTGCTAAAAAGTCCCATACACTAGGATGAAATGGCTGTCTAGGGCTTGCAGTTTTCTACACTTTCCTAAAATGATATCAGTCTATGGTGAATACCAACCTGAAATTAATAAATTAATCCTCACAAACCTCCAAACTTGACATCTATGTTGAATCATTCCCCACCCCCTCCTTGGTTTCATTATTTCCACTCACCTGAAACATTATGCTTCCCGTTATTGTGTATCGAAATATAAGAGCATAGTTTGTCTGAAGAAAAAAAAATTACCATTTAAGAAAATTTATTGCTGAACTGTATAGTTGAATGTCGTGTACACTAGTAATACTTAGTACTTACGTGATGATAGCAAGGTCAAAAAAACAGAAACTTTTTTCAAACTGGTCACGTAATCGAAAGGTATGCTTTCGAAATGTGGGAACATAGGTCAAATAAGGTTAGTAGACGTTTTTAAGAAGACAATAAATAAAGAAATTCACTGTCGGTTGAAAGATTTCTGCAATCATTTTTTTTGGTCGAGACTACAAATTTAAATTCTTCAGTCTAATGTAATGTTCAATTTTCAACTGTATATTTATGACAAAAGTGTTAGCCGTCAACGTCATCAAACCTCATCTAGACTAATCCTCGAGCTGGTAAGCAGTCAGACAACAAAAGCAGGCTTGTCAGTGGTTCTCTTACACATATATATGACTCACCTCTCCGTAGAGTTTTAGGCAGAAGAGGTAGATCAGTTGATGCGGTTGTGAACCTTCATCGACTGAGATGGCTGACTGGAACATGTGTTACGTATGCCTAGCCACCGTCTACCTCGTCACACAATGTTGGTCGAAGTGGGTTCAGGCTGGAAAAAAGCCTCGGGGTGGCCAGACTAAATCATAGCACCAGTGCATGAAGTCCTTAATTGTCGGTTTGAGCCATGTGGGGGATGCAAACTAGCTGGTTGGGGGTCCGTGGGACTAGAGAAACCACTGGTTGTTGGAGACTCTATGTGATATAGCTCAAAACCGGTGTCACTGGCGCAGATGCATACGCACATTATCCTCACACTAAGCGCTATACTTAGTCTCATTATCTTCCCATTCTTCCTTCTCTTTTTTTACTACTTCCTGCTTCCTTTAACCAATATTTCTTTCTTCATTTTCCACTTTATTGCCTTGTTATTTGGTGTGCCGATATGAGATGTGGCAAGTTGAACCGTTAAGCAGTAATGCCGGGTTTCATGTTGATCTTGATAAAGATGGTGATCACATAAATACAACAACTTCCTTGAAATATTTCGCTGCTGCTCCACAACATTGAAAGAAGAAGAATTGGGAAAGGTGAATAATACTTATCTCACACCTCTTTGTATCTATGTATGCATTCTCACCTGCTTGTTTTTCATAACACTGTCAACGATGTTGCAGCATCACTTCACCTAAACATTTTCCACATGAATGAAGTCAAGGGACTATCTAGCTGTCCTGATCAAAATTGTAAGACTTGCAAGTGTTTGATGGTAAAGGTGCATTAAACGATAACTAGTTTCCCAGTACTTTACTTATATTTATAGTATCCTAGACGAGTTTATTGTTTCGTATGAAAAGACAAATAACATCAAAGAATATACTATACCTGTCGTAATGTATAGCCTAGTGGATAACGCTCTGATATTTGATGGGATTAGTCCTGGTTTTGAATCTTGGCGGCGATAACATCACTCGCTGAGAGGCAGGTACATCCAGCTGATGAACCTCGAATAGGACGAAACGCGTGTCAAGCTGGATTCCACTGCTAGCCACTATCCATCATTAGTATCAAAAATTATAATCATTTCAAAATGAAATTCAATAACTCAGCAACATTCTCATACATAAGATAGTGAGCTACATATATTAGGGTGTGTGAGTGCTAATACTGGTTTGTTATTCAGGCTTCGATAGATGAAGAGGGATTTCAAACCTCTGACTCCCAACGGTTGCAAGTATAGTCCCCCTAGGCTAGTGAACGATAGTTGGACATTGTGGAATGCCCCCCCCACACACACACACACACACTTCAGTGTTTAATGTAAATTTAAATTTCAGCTTCTAGAAACTACCTTGGTGATTTTAAACAATATACATGGCATCAGGGCATCTACTGTTATATTACCAGTCATTCCGTTGTCTTCGAATCATATTCTCTCAGTAACCTGTTCACCTCTGAACCATAGTGACTCAAATTAGTCGTTTTATGCTGTTAAGGTTGCTTAATTCGTGCGCTTCTTATGCTGTCATTCATCTGTTGAATGTTTTGTACACTCCCGGTACAGAAAGCATTTTACAGAACTCACGGCTGGGGTCCGCAAGACAAAAGAAACCAGTGGTTAGAGACTCTTGGTGATATAGCTGGGAACTTATGTCAATGGCGCAGATGTATACATACATTATCCTCATCTTAACGACCCTATACCGAATCTCACCGTTTTCTCATTCTTCCTCTCTCTCTCTCTCTCTCTCTCTCTCGAGTACTTTATATTTCCTTGCTTCATCTTCCACTGCACTGCTTTGTCGCTTGGTGTATTGACATGAGGTGTGGCAAGATGGACCGTTATGCAGTAATGCTTGGCCCTATGTCGATGATGATGCAGAACTCACGTAGATTTTTACTGATTCACAAGTATTCGTTGCCGAAAAAGATCAATCTTCTAATGAAAGTTTGTCTTAGGTCTAAGATTGTGAATTATTTGGGTTCCAGTGTCATGTAGATGTTTACCTGTCCAAACTTGATAGAAGCAAAGATAATCTAATCCTCCACAGTTTATTATATCTCGTTCCAATCTGTAGGATGGATTCGTCATTTTCATGGCTAACTTCATTTCATATGTTCTGGTTTTAAACACACTACAACTCTGATCTCACTAATGTGTCTTGTCTATTTGCATCCTTCATATTGATTTTCCTCTTTGATCGGTGTCAACTTGAACGTACAAACATACTAAGCATCTCGTGATTACCTGAATTTGGTCACATCACTTGAAGCATGGCATCTGCTTGCTTATTGCGTTAATTCACTTTAGTTAGTGTGAGGAAGCTGGATACGCAACTGCTACTATCCAGCTCTAAAATATACCGTGTCTGTGAGTTACTGGCCCTGTTCATCTTCTCAAACACAAGTGGAACTGTGATTCTTGAATTCAACTCCAACCTTACCTAGATAGTAGTGCCATTATTCCCTCAGACATTATTGCAGTATAGCGCGTGGTGTTCGAAACCCCATGGCTGCTGATTTATATTACGTTCTACAATAACTCTACCAAATTTTTCATCATTATCATTGTTATTTTTACCTTATTATTATCTCTGTTTAATCTTTACACTTTATTCATTATTATTTCTGGAGAAAGTTGTATGTCTTACTGAAACACTGACTACAGTTTACTTTATTTGTGCACGTGTATCTATACCTGTATTCACATCAACAGCTTTGTAGTTTGAGTTCGTAGCAAATCGAATCGAAATGGTCTCAACCAACCTTGTGTGCATTCATGCTGTAGACATTGAGTCACATCTGCTGTATGAGGACTAATGATACTACCTGACTCCTCAAACCAACTCGATAGATGAAGCAGGGCTGGAACCCATGATCTGTTGGTTGAAAGTTATCGGCCTAAACTAATGGGACACAGTTTGAATTTCTCTTCATATTCTGGTTATAATTTGCCATTATTGTTTTGGTGCACAGTTATGTTTTTCATCTTACGTCCAGCTGATTTTGTAGTCTTCTATGTTTCTGGCTTAGTCTACTAATCTTTCATAGTAGTCAGGAATTAAATCTTCAATTCTGTCTGGCATCACTTTGCTAAGAGGGTGCACTCAGTGGTAGCTGTTTTGCTCACCAAGTTGCTGTGGAATTAAGAAATTAGCTCTGTATTTAAGAGCATTTCATAGCCGAACACACACTAGTACTTGGTTAATGAATTGTACTGTTTTCCTTTATCTCGTAACTGTTCTTTAAGAATGTCAGTCGTCACTTTACGTAATCCTGACAAAATGGCATCGTTTATCCAGTACTTTATCACATTATGGTAATAATCACGGTAGCACAAAAGGCTTGTCGGAATAAACCAACAAGTTTCATGTTGTCTGTTTATTGGTCAATAAGTCATTGTTACCATTTTAGGTGAGAAAATACGAACTCAACTAGTCAAATGGAGATGGATTTACTGATACTTTCAGTTATTCAGAATCAATATGGAACTTGGCATCACTGTGCTAAACTCCAAGTAGTCGCACTTCACATTAGCCCATAAAGTTAGAAGGCACCAAGGTGAATGAAAGAAAAATAAGGAAAGGTGTAATTGGAAGTAGTGGAGAGAGTTATAAGACGAGATAAAGGTGCGATAAACCAGTAACGAAATTCGGTGTGACGATCCGTATGAAAACAGTGTGCGGATGGATCTGTTCCAGTGACATCAGTTCTGAGCCATTTCAGCTGTAGTCTCCAACCACCGATTTCGGCTGTCATACGAACCTAATTCGAGGGGTCTGCATATCCTTACACAACGTACACCAGCAGGCGGAAACTTCGTGTACTGATGACACATTTTACTTTGACCACTTTTCATCTATTCTTAGCCTAAACCCACTTCAGCTAACATTGTGCGACGAGGTAGACGGTGACTGAACGGGCATGACACAAGCCGAAAAAAGTTCATAACGTAATCAACTTATCTTTTCTGCTTAAGAATCTATGTGTAACCTTTACATTACTAACGCGGGGGCCCCATGACACGTGGTCAGTCCTACAAGAACAAGGGTGATCGAACCCCTGAGGCCTTAAGCTCTTCCGCCTTAAACGATCTCGTTTCACAACCATATGGTGGAATAAAGCAAACCGTGGTGCAGTGCATTAGGTCCTTAAGGGGCACTCGGATATGACACCGGCGCCACAAATGGCATAAGTCAGCCTTTTGTATCCGTGCAGAGATTTCGAAGACTAATGACCCATCAAGGCTGATTGGAATCCCCGGAGAAGTGAAGTGGTCAACATACTCAGCCACTTCACTGTCTGTTGTTAGACAAGTCACTAATGAAGGCTGGTCTTGAGGCGAGAATTTGCATTTATGTGATGAGAAACGTATCCTAAGCATTCTGGAATTGTCACTCAATATGCTCTGAAAATTGCATCTTACTTTATTGTATTTCCCTTTGTCTGAAATTCCGTAGTTTACACAATTGAATCACAATCTGGTCAGTTTCCTTAACATAGTTAAACTAAACTCTTGATTTCCTTCGCGTGGGTCACGGGACCAAACCCGTCACCTAATATCAAGCTTCAAGTGATCACCTTTTGTTATTACTCCCTCATAGCATAGATTATTGGCTTCAAGCTGAATACACAAACCATTTACTTAGTGAACTTGTGATGTAATCTATTATTGCTGAAATCTGAGAAGCTTTTGTGGGTGAACAAGAGGTATGAAGCGATGCTAAACTGTACACAGACAAACAGAGAAATCCAACTTTATTTTCTACAGTTTAATAACATCTCAGACAGATTCTAGTCTAAATACATTTTAATGCGTATAAACGCAATTTTCCTCAGTATTATTGATATTATTTTTTCGCAGTTTAAATGAGAGAGTGCACATTATTCTTTTATAGACAGTTTTTGGAAATCATCAAGTTTGAATCGACATTTCTCATGATTGAATAAAATTTTTGCACAAATCTATCTCTTGTGACCTATTTTAAACTTATGGATATAATCTATTCGAAAAAAGTTACTGTATACCTGTAAATTCCCCGTCGACCTTGGTAGATATGATAACTATTCGTAAATAATAGTAACTACTAATACGCATTGTACAAGAGATGATTCTTGTGTCTCAGTGACATCCAGAGGATAGCACATTTGCGTCTAAAGCCGTGAGTGTGGGGTTCAAGTCTCAGTGGGAAAACCATCACTCATTGGGGTATGGAGGTGGATGACTACTGACTGACAAAATCAAAGCTGAACCTCGTACACAAGTGCCACACTTCACAGTAGTACACAAAAAATAGGTGAATAGAAAAAGAGTAATGTCAAAATAGACAAAGTTGCACCCTCGTCCAGGTCTGAAGCCCGCCTGGTTTTCTCAAGTTCGCTGTTCTCCAGCTCCAATTAGACGTGGGATAACTATGGTCCTTAGGATCTTGGATACAATGTTAGTCAAACTAATTCCTCGGTGGTTGTTATAAAACGATCTCTCTTCCTTGTTATAAACCTTTGCTAAGTTGAACTGTGCTTCAAAACGTTCAGCCTGACGTCCTTGCTACCTGTCCTGGAAGGTTTCACTAACCATCTTCTTCTTCTTGTCGGTATCCTTAATAAACCTAAATAGTTGACTGGCGTTACTCAACACTGATGCCTTCTCCATTTCTGTCGCTCCCACCACCCACCACTGCTCGTGATCACTGCGAATACTCTTGGTCAACTTTAAGTTGCTTTAGCTCTTCATCTTGGTCAGAGGCAGTCGGAATCAATCTTCTCGCATCAATCATTTCGAATGACGTCACAGAAACCCAGCGCAGGTACATTCGGCTGATAAAACGCTTGTCCAGGATTCCATTAGTAACCCGCCACCAAGTCAATTATAGCGATTAGAAAATTGGCAATCCTTCGCTCTACTCCCCACACATCTTTTAGTGCGTGCTGTTTATTAGTCATTAACGAGGACGATAGGGCTGTCCAGTGACCCAAGCTTTTCTGCGGTTTTACAACTACGTTCAATCCATAATGGGAAATGCCTTGAATAGCCGATTTTACTTAGATATACATAGTGCACAAATGTGGTTTCTGGCAGAACTATTGCTCAGTACTGTAGCTGATAAAGCCTTTGGTCAGACTGAGGGTACTAGACAAAACAGGCAAGTCGATTGATGAGGTTGTGAAGCTTCATCGACTGAGATGGCGTGGATATGCACTGTATACGTCGAGCTACTGTCTACCTCAACGTGCCACGCTAGGGGAATTCGGATTAGGTTGAAAGAAGATTCAAGGTGACCAGATCAAAATGTGACACCGGTAGATGGTGGTCTAGGTCATGTAGAGAGATGTAGGCTGCCTAGTTGGGGTCTGTGAGACAATAGGAAAATCGATCACAGTGATACAAATGTATTCACTTCTTGACGTGTTTTAAAGCTTGAATATTTCCACTACTTTAATATCACTCTTTCAATCCAAGTATTCTTTGTCTACTACTGTGAAGTGCGGCAACTAGTGGTGATGTACTTGTGTACGAAGTCCTAATGTCTGACTAAACCTATTGATTAATGTGAATGTCTTTTAACTACTAACACCTTAGTTGAGGAGGATAATTTATTTTATGCCTTTCCTTTATTCATGAGTTATAAAGTCAACACAAGTATTTTCCACTTATGATTATATTCGTTATCAGATGTTCATGTATATATTTATGGAGGTAATTTACACCTTCATATTTCTCATATTGATGCGTTTAGGTGATCCTGATACATATACTCCAAATGGTCATACCTATTCATCGTTACTTGATGAAGCTAGTCGATTCAGATCTTATCCAACTTATTCACAACAATTATCTCATCATAATATACCTCATAGTACAACTATACGACAGCCTGTTCTAACTTCTACGCCTTCATCCTCTTCAACATCATCAAATAATGGATTCTTTCATCAGGAGACTTCAAATCCATTATTAATTAATCAGGTGTGTTCAATTCCTAGTAATGGTAATTCAGTCATCACTAGTAATCATAATGGAGATGAGTCATTAACTAATGGACATTTTCAGTCAACTATATCACATTCAAATGTTCAAGTCACCCCCTCAACATTCACAGCTTCTTTAACCTCGAATTCTGATGCAACTACTGTTACTCAACTACCTCCAGTATCAAAATCAAACACTTCTGTAGATGAATGTCGTCGGAATTCGGTAACAAATACAATGTTAAATACATCTAGTAGCAGTAGTAGTGGTCGATCGGACCAAGGTAAGGGTAAGTTTTCTAATAATTAATGTTTAAGATTTTACAATGTAATAATCATTTAACCCTTTCGAAATACTGACGTATGTATGTTTGTAATGTATCTTTGTTGGTAATTTATCAGTGACTACTTACACATTCGTATGAGTTGAACGTTGGACCACATACACACATACACCTTTACTTAATCTTGGTGTATCAGGTGAATTTTGTACCGTTAGCTGATTGGTTGGAAATGGGATATCTCAATGAATAATGAACCGTTTTGACACAGTAGCAGCAGAATAGTTATCTGTTGTTATCTTATTTAGGCAATTTAGTATGGGACCCCCCAAAAGTGCGCACCAATGACCCCGTTAGATATTGAACCTAGGAGTTTCAGGTTCCGCTAGCAGTACGTTACCATTGATCCACTGAGTCAGAATTCAATCGACCATTTTTTCCTTCTGTTCAGTACTGATACCAGTCCATGATGAATACCAACCTGAAATCGATAAATAAATCCCCATAAACCTTCAAACTGAATTATTCGCGTGCTCATTGGTTTATTTAGCTTCAAGGGGGTGATTCCCGAAGTTCTAATGAGAAGTTGTGACCAGTGGGGCCAACCAAGTTGAACATGAGGAGAGTTACTCAATGATGACATTGTATGAAGGTCGCGGTGTATCACGAACTGATAGGAGTATAAAATAAGGACTTATCTATTCCGACTGAGTAGTCCAACGGTGACGTGTTAGATACGGAAGCTGAAGGTTCTGGGTTCAATCCCTTGTGAGGCGGGTCTTGAGTTCTCACTGGGACAAAATAGCCCGCCAGCATGTCAATGCATTTTTCTAACGAAGTTATGCTTGAAATATTCTAACTCGAATACTGGAGACTATTGGACATGCTTTGTTTTTCTGCATGAGTGACTGACTGACGAACGAACATAATCAACGCAGAACCTTGCACGCTGGAGCATTACCACAAGTTGCCAGTATACACTGAAACAGGTGAATAGAAAAAGAGTGATATCAAAGGAGACAAAGTTGTGTGAGAGCATAAACAATTCAAAGATAACGGTTAGTGCAAACACTCAGGCCATAGATGTCACCAAGAACCCTCATCCGCTAATTCCTTTCTGCATAAGTTCTAACTCAGATGGATTTATTTTATCTGGAGGTTTGTGGAAGTTTATTAATTGATTTTAGGTTGGAATTCATCGTAGACTGCCATCAGTTGAAGGGACATTTGGAACCTGGAAGCACTGGACAAGTGTTGCGTCCGACTAGTATGGGACTCCTCAGCAGTGCATTCCCACAACCCCGCTAGGCGATATGGACGATTAGATTCAAACCAAGTGACTTAATGGTAACGTGCTGGTCACGGAACTTAAAGGTCCTGGGTTCGATCCATGGTAAGTTAGGGTCATGGATGCACACTGCCAGGACGAAACAGCTGTTCAGTGCTCCCAGTTTTCCAGTATCTCCAACTGATGTCAGTCCACGGTGAATTCCAACCTAAAATCAGATGGGTTTAGGTTAATGAGAATCCTATGCACAGGTCTTCAAAAAGACTAATAGGAGTTGGCTGTTCGAGGGAAAAGTCTACAATAAGACCAACAGGTTTTATTTTTTTCTCCTAGAGTAAATTATTTATGACATCTAGCCGCATTCTTGATTTGTCTACCCTGCTTCAGTTAATTCATCTCATTGACACTGGGAAATCACAGAGCTGAATTGGTTTTGCTTTTTCACTAGCTGGTTTTGTTTTAGAGGGGGCAATTAATATGGAGACAGTCTTCACCCTGGGATAGATATTGTTGTGACAGTTGTGGGGTTGCGCGCGTGGTTATAATGATACTGAGACTCAATAGACACCTCAACCGAATACCTTTACGACTGACCTCCCTCAGTACCTTCTGCCTCACTGAGCTGCGGAAAAATCAGAAGACAAAGAGGGCCCGTGACCGCAAGAACAGCGGCAACAACTTTTATGTAGTTACAAAACTCTCAGAAAGTGAAGCCGTAAATGAACCAATCCGATTTCTTGTACGAGGTCGAATTTCTCCAATCAGGTTCTCATGTCAGCGCGTGCATAAACCACGACCTGAACATGATCTGATCATGATTTGAAAACAACTCCCCTATTGGCTGCCTTTTTGTCGCTACGTGTCAGGTATGTGATAGCATACACATATCTGCCAAGAAAGAGAAAGACAAGAATTTCTAATTCTTCATCATACGAAGTTGAGAGTGGACACTGGCTAAAATGTTCACCTTCATGATCTGATTTTTGCTGTTAGTAGTATATACTTCGTAGAATACTTTTTATCTTGTTCATTTTCTTCTTTTTCATGTCTTCTTCAGGTTCTTCTGCCTATCTGGAACATCTGAATCCAGAGTCGAAGGACATACGACGACGTGTAAGCCATAATGAAGGTGAGTACACTTTTCTTCTCTTCCAATTGTTTTCGACTGTTATCTTGTTTGTTTATTATTTCTTCTTCTTGAATCTATGCTTAGTATTATGATCGACTTTCTGGTGGACTGACTAAATGAATTGTGAATTCGTGACACCTTACTACTGCTTGATCGTATTTACACTAGCTGCTTAGTCAGGACTTCTCATCCCAATGCAAATCTAACTGAATTAGAGAGGGAGCAGTGTGGATACAAGCAAGCGGTAGTAACGGGTCACAAATTCACATGGTAGTCAGGCAAACCCCCACTTGTAATTGAAGTGAAATAAAAATCTGGTGGGACCTCGTAGCACAGTTAGTAGAGCATCAAGCCGGAAACCCGATGGTCCCTGGTTCAAATCCGGCCGCGGTTCAAAATTCTCATTTCACCTTCAATCAACACTCAGTATGAATACTAGTCTGCCAAACTACGACTATCTCAGATAGTCAAATGATAAATGAATTGTGTTCTTTTTCTAGCGATTCAAAGTGCTTTTTTTGCCTAATTCAAAAGTTTAATCGTCTAGATTTGTGATTTGTCTACTGTCAGATCTTGTAAATCGAACTTCAACTTACCCTCTCTATAGGTTTGTTTGGGGTGAATTTAAAGGCCACCCTAACAACAACTGGGGTGACCAATTAGGCTTTTGTATTTCGCCGGGAAATGTACTTTTTCATGGAATAAAGGAATGTGATTGGCTATCTCATCAGTTGCTAGGTTGGCCTTTAAAGTCATCCTTTATTTATTTGTTCAGCTATAAAGTGGACGTATGAGAGCTCAGGAGAGAGTGAAATGCTGCCTTGATCGAAGTAGGTATAGAATAGGATTCGATCCCTCAACCCTGTTTATTACAATGTTGAGCGATATTTTGTTGGCTTAGTTTTACTATCAATGCCCAAATCGTGTAGACTACTGAATGACAACTACTTATCGCTTTGGATTCATTACCCCTATTTGAATGATTGCCGTTTTTTCTTTTTACCTCTTCTAGAGAGGAAGAAAGATGTACAGTGGATTTTTAAGTTATTGCCTCCCCTAAGATTAAGTAATAGTTGTATTTATCTTTTTTTTCTTAAAGAATTGACGACTGACTTTTCATACTGACCTCCAAAGGGATATCCATTGAAAATTGTTAATCATAAACTTTTCACAGAATCCATCTACACCTAAAATATCATCCTTGGGAACCAGTAGCATTTATTGTTGTTGTTCCCCTAGCGTATTTAAGGAGTTTTTAGGTGTCAATAGTAGTTTTATGGAATTGTTTGAGATTAACACCATCCCTTTCATTTCATCTTATACGAAGAAGTTCAGGATATATCAGTAAATGAAGAAATGTTCATCATAGGTTAGTTTGTTTCAATAAATAGCGTGACATTTTTCAATGGAACTTTGTTGTTAAAGGTTACTCTGAATAATTATTAGTTATACCAATGCAAGTAAACCAACTGACTGAGTAATTGAAACAGAGATAGATAGTCATCATCATCAATATCAACTTAGGACCAGGCATTGCTGTATAATGGTCCAGTTTGCCACACCATATCAGCACAACAAGTAACAAAGCAAGTAAGGTAAAAGATGGTGAAGAATCTGTCAAAAGTAATGGAAACCGGTAAACTAGAGAAAGTCATCATCAACATAGGATCAGACTTTACTGCGAAACGGTCCAACTTGCCACACCTCATATCACTACATCAAGTAAAAAGGCAATGAGGCGCAAGATGAAATTAAGAAAATTCCGTCAAAAGAAATATAAAGTACTCAGAGAGAGAAAGAGAGAAAGGAAGAATGAGAAAATGGTGAGATTTGGTATAGCATGGTTAAGATGAGGATAATGTGTGTATACATCTGTCCCACTGACATCGGTTCTCAGCCATGTGATCACCTGCAGTCAGTCTCCAACCACTGGTTCCTCTTTTCTCGCGGAGCCCAACCGACTAGTCTCCATCACCCCCATATGGCACAAACCAACCGTCAAAGACTTCATACATTCATGCCATGTTCTAGTCCGGCCACCTCGCGCCTTTTTCCAGCCTCAACCTACTTTGGCCAACATTGTGTGATGAGGCAATCGACGACTAGGCATACGTAGTACGTATCCCAACCATCTCAGTCGATGAAGGTTCATAACTTCGTAGGAATAAGAAAATCCTGAATTCAGTATGGCGATCAAGATGATAATTTGTGGATAAATCTGTTCCACTGAATTCGACCCTAAGCTATGTCACCTAGAGTCTCTAACCCCACTGGGTTCCTGTTGTCACGTGGGTTCGGTTCGATTCACACGACGACTCGGCATGCATAACACATGCTTCAGCCTCCTAAGTTGATAAAAGCTCACAGCTCCATCAACTGACTTTTGTCTCCTCCCAACATTTCTATACCCTGACTTCTGCAATACTGATGTGGTGGTACCATGACACACAGCCTATGCTACGAAAGCGACAATGGTCAAATGCAAAAAGCCTTCTCATATACTCTACCCTTAGTGGTCATATTTCATAGCCAGATAGTAGAAAATATGGAAATGCAGCGCAGTACACTCGATCCTTAATAGACAACTGAACATCATGATGGTGCCATATTTGGCATAAATAGGCGAAAGCCAACCGAACGCTTCATATCTATGCAAGGATTTTGTCGGCCACTGATCCACTAGAGTTGACCCGATTCCCCAGGCAAATGAACCACTTCACTCCTTATTGTTTAACAAGGCACAACGAACACCAGTCCTAGAACAACAATTTGCATTTGGATGATGAGAAACGCATCCTAAGCGTTTTTAAATTGTCTCTCAGGCTGTTCAAAAGATTTTACACTATGTCACCTCCCTATTTCAGTGACAGTCATTGCACCTCTCGACTAACGGACTCAAATGCTGTCTTCAGATCAAGAAGTATATCCAATTTAGGACGTCGGTAAGTGTGTCTGTGTTTCAGAACTTGCTGGAGTCTGATACACCGACGATTAGGTCTGAAACCTGCCTGGTCTTCTCCCGTTTCATGTTCCAGAGCTCCACTTAGACATTTAGTGATTATAGAACGTAGAATCTTAGTATATCCATCAAGCTGATCCCCCTGTGGTTGTCACAGCTAGTAATGCCTATTTGATAAAAGTTAACCATCATATATCATACATTCAACTGTAAACTATGCTTTATTTGATTGAAGCAGATGGTTTTGGCTAGTTCTAACTTTGAAATACAGCTAACATGCATCATTCATTCTTGATTCCTCTGGTATCTATCCATCAGTAAACTTTGTCAACAGTTCAATTCGTTGTGGTTGGTATATATATGGACTGAATAGCAAAATAAATGCATATATCTGAAAGTAGATTGGAGAATATTCTTCAACTTTTTCTGTCCCTATCAGGTCATCTTTAAAAATTGTTTTACTTATGTATATTATTAATACTTTTATAGTTGTGCAACAGTTTTCTCATTCAAAGTGTACTTCATTGCATTCTATGACATCATCTTTTGATATATATATATATATATATATATATATATATATATATATATATATATATATATATATATGTTTATATATATATGTTTACAAGCTTGTTCATATTGTGATGGATATTGATGAAGATTCAATTCTGTTTTTAAATCGCATTGTAAAATAATCTCTTGAGAATCTCCTCACCTACATACTTTTAATTTAACTGCATATTCTCTAAATGACGCCTTATTTTGTGCTCTATCATCTTAGTATTTTATTGTCCAATTCGGAAACAATAATTAGATGAATCTATTCTATGGATAATAGTTGGTATTGTTTGTCATGGGGGGCGGACAATGTTCGAGTCTATCTTTAAACTATACACAATCAGATAGTTTTCCAACCCTCAAATTAGTATTATTGATAAATAGTGGCTAGCAGTAGAATCCAGCTTGACGCACATTTAGTCTCACTTGGAACTCGTCAGTGGAATGTGCATGCCTCGCAGTGGGTGATATCGCTCCCACCAAGACCCGAACCCAAGACCGGTTGCTTCAGATACCATAGCGTTATCCACCAGACCACCGAGTCACAATAGCCACTTCTAAATCAGTGGGTATAGTTTTAATGTTGTTGCTTGTATTGTTACATCGTTGAGCAGATCGAATTGACCGGTCCTTGTCGACATATAGGCTTCTGGTGGGAACAACATTGCTCATTGGGAGGCAGGTGCTTCAAGCTAGCGGGTCCTAAACAGGAAGAAACGCGCGTCCTGCATTCTACCATCAGCCACCATGCATCATTAATATATACTTGAAATGTTAGGTAATATAGAGGTATCCGCGCTGGAGGCAATGTGCAAATAGAGCCTGATCAATTCGGTCCACTCAATGATGGTATAATACTAACAACAGCATCTCGTTTAGTGTGTCGAAAGAGGAGAGCATAAATTGTACTCTCTGAGTATTTCAGATAGAAATTGTGAACTTTCATTTATAACTGCGACCTTGGCATTGTGATCACGTTTGTGTATGAAACTGACCTAATGAGTTATGCTGGTAAGAAAATTTGTTCGCGGGAAGCCTGTTGGAGTCTCTTTTGAAGACATGAGAAGGCTTCAAGTGTTTGACCACCGTTGCCTTCGTGGTATATATGTAGGCGGTATTCCGTGGTGTCACCACGTGAGTAACACAGAGGTTCAGGTGTAGAGTTTCAGGTAGGAGAGATAAGTGAGTTGATGCTGTTGTTAATCTTGATCGACTGAGATGTCTGACTGGAATATGTGTTACGTGTGCGTAGTTGCTGTCTGCCTCATCACATAATGTTGGTCGAAGTAGGTTGAGGCTGTAAGAAGTCGCGAGTTGGCCAGACTAGATAGAACATGGCATGAATGTATGAAGTCTGACTGTTGGTTTGTGCCATGTGGGGGTGATGGAGACTAGGTGGTTGGGGTCCGTGGGACAATAGGAATCAGTGGTTGGAGACTGATTGTAAGTGGATGACATGGCTGAGAACCGATGTGAGTTGGGCAGATGTATACACACATTATCCTCATCTTAACCATGCTATAATAAATCTCACCATTTTCTCATTCTTCCTTTCTCTCTTTCTCTCTCTGAGTACTTTATATTTCTTTTGACGGAATTTTCTTAATTTCATCTTGCGCCTCATTGCCTTTTTACTTGATGTAGTGATATGAGGTGTGGCAAGTTGGACCGTTTCGCAGTAATGTCTGATCCTATGTTGACATTGATGATGACGATGATTTGAAGTGTTGTAACTTAACCTGATGCACGTGTGTGTGTGAGGTTCTGCTTTGATATTGTCAGTCAGGCAGTCAATCAGTGAGTTATTGAAATATCCGTAAGTTTGATTTGGCACCGCATCTGTGCCGCCCCAGGATTTCTTATTGCAGGGAGTGGTATTTGTACATATATACATATGATATAAAGATATGCGTATCCTTAGCTAGTCACTGAAATGCAAATATCGAATATAGCTCCTAACTAGTGTGCTACAACATATTCTGCGAATGTCTCCACGATTACCTTGACGTTCTGCGTATGTGTATGTGTGTGTGGTGTTGTTGTTGTCGATGTCATTCATTCAACATCAGGTCATATATACATATGTTGCATCGAACTTTCGACTGGTTGAATGAATGTTATAACTGTCTGTGTGTCTAAGCCGTATACTTTAATCTGGATCCTTTTTCATTCATTTCAATCGATCTGTCTTTAAACGCTAGTGCATATTTTTTTTGTCTTATGTTCTGCATTTCGATATATCTACATGTATGTATACGTACGATGTATATATATTAATCGAATTGTTTGGTTGATAGATAATGAGGGGTATGTGTGTGTGTGTGTGTGCAGGCTAAGAGAAACAGACCATAGTTGTCTCTAATTCCTTTCTCGCACTTACAATTGGACGCGCACGTGTGTGCGCACGCACTCACACACGTCAAAGCCTTTTGTAATGTGTATGTGCGTGTATGTCTGAATATATAGTGTATGTTTGCGTTTGTGCGATGTTTAGCCTGGTGAATCGACTTCATTTTTCACTTGTTATGTTGTCGTTCTCCTTTATAATGTAGTTATACCGATGTTTACATCACAGCATGTAATATATATATATATATATATATATATATATATATATATATATATATATATATATATATATATATATATATATTGTATATATTAGTTGTTGTGCGCATAAACGTGTTCAACAGTTGAGAAAATGTTCTTTTGACCAAGTTTTTGTGAAATTAACTTAGGAAATCACTTTAAAAACTAGCGTTTACCGATCAGATGCATAAAATTTATCACTTGTTAGTAATGATTTTGTGGATTAAATGCAATACGAAAGCGTGTACATGTTTTGCTTAACTGTACTACTACTAGTCATCCTGATTCCTGTCTACTTCCTGTCGTCAGTTAGTCAGTAGGTGGCAGAATTGCGAACTGTTCCACTAGGCAATAATGTTGACTAGTAGTATGAATCGTTCTAGTTGGATTGATGTCGCAGTTATACATATATATCCATTCCTTGATATCTGAAGCTTGAGTATTTGCACTAACCGTTGCCTTCAAACTGTTTTTTCTTCCATACACCTTTGTCTACTTTCATATCGCTCCTTTTATATCCATGTGTTCTTTGTATACTACCGTGAAGTGTAGCCAATACACCTGTGTACAATTTTGTCTGTCTGTCTGTCTGTCTACCGAGTGACTTAGGCCGTATGTGGTACCTATAGTGTCTCAAGTAGGCAGGAACTCTTCACTAAACTGGTTCGGTTCGAAAAGCGAAATACATAAAAATGGAATGATTTTTAATTGAACATTACATACACAAAAAGGGTGACCTAAGTGTTTGCAAGAACTGGCGCGGAATCACGCTCCTGTACACCCCAAGCAAAATATTAAGCCGCATCATCCTGGAGAGACTAAAGGATGCACTGGATTCAAAACTACGACCGCAACAGGCAGGCTTCAGGAAGTACAAATCATGTGCAGACCAAATTGCTACGCTTCACATCATGGTAGAACAGAGTATAGAATGGCAGTCAACTCTCTACCTCAACTTCATTGACTTTGAAGAGGCCTTCGACAGCGTCGACGGAGAAGTAATTTGGCAGGCAGTTGCTTCAACACTACGGAATTCCACAAACCTTTATCAACCTCACTGAACAGCAGCTACATGAAGACGCCACATGACAAGTAATTCACAATGGGAAGCTCAGTTATGCCTTTGCAGTGAAGTGAAGACAGGAGTGAGACAAGGCTGTCGCCTACTATCACCCATGATATTCCTGATTGTGGTCGACTGGACTGGATCATGCAACAAACAGTGAGGAGCTGTGAGAAGAGGGTGATATGCTGGATGGACCGTGGAAAAGATCCCCGAAGATTTGTATTTCACCGATGATGACTTGGATCTGATGTGACACAAACTTGAAGATCTACAGTCGAAAACTAAGAAGTTGACAGAAGAGGCAGAGCAGGGAAGAGAAGGGCAGGTCAGGGCAGCGAGGGGAAACGGGGCTTCAAGTGAGTATAGAGAAGACAGAGGTGATGAAGATACCCAACAACAACAACAACAACAAACTCCAATCACCATGAATGGGAGAAACTTAAAGGAAGTAGCCTCCTTCACCTATCTAGGAAGCACTGTTTCAACTACAGACGGCATAGACACAGACGACGAGGACATCAAATCCAGCCAGGATCGGAACAGCAAGCAAGACGGGTGTTCATTAATCTGAAACCAGTATGGAGATCTACTGCACTGCACTCAACATAAAGCGTGAACAACATCCGGATTTTCAACACCAACGTGAAGTTAGTGCTTCTATGTGATGTTGAGAGAGTTGGGGCGTTACGAAAGGGATTTCCAACAAACTGCAGACATTCATCAACAATTGCTGCCTACACTGTCTCGTTAGTGAAGATGAGATCAGATGGCCAGAATGACAAGGATAAGCAACAAGGAACACTGGCTGGCTGTCGCTGAACAAGTATGCGGAGGAAGGAAGTGGAGATGGACTGGACTGCGTATGCACTGAGAAGGCTGACTGGGGACATCACGCACCACACCAGGCATTCGAGTGGAACCCAGATGGGATGCGACGAGTTGGGCGTCGGTGGCGAGGGTGACATGGAGGAGATCGTTAGATGAGGAAATGAGAGGTTGTGGGCTGTTGTGGAGCCAGGATGAAAAGATGGTAAAGAAGAGAGTGGAATGGAGACGTGCTACTGAATCCCTATGTTCCACTAGGAACCCAAGGACAACTAGTAGTGATAGTAATAACATACACAAAAGAGTAAGTATGAAGAGTAAATAAACATCTTTCAACAAAATATTTGTGGCATAGAAAGTCGTAAAGCGAAAACATTTCTATGCTAATGTGATAGATTTTTAATTATGTCACCAGAATTCTCTAACAAATGATTCTTAACATCTTGATAATCCCATCAGAAAAATCTCTACAATTCGGAGGAATAATCACTAACCCCTTGGAGGTATGTTATCTCTTCATCTCCCCACTCTAAATTTCGTCCCAATTTCAATTGACTCACACTGCACATTCTTGTAGATGGGGCTACTTGGTTTGTGAGTGAGTGAGTGAGTGAGTGAGTGAGTGAGTGAGTGAGTGAGTGAGTGAGTGAGTGAGTGAGTGAGTGAGTGAGTGAGTGAGTGGAGTGAATTCCACTCTCATCTAGTATTTACCACCATCGGTTTTATTATCATGTACTGTTTTGGAATTACAGCAGTTTCATTGGCTTCATTAAATTACTGAATCTCATGCAGTTCCATGTAAAATTAATTATATGGATGAATATTTCAACAGCAGCTGGGAAATTAAAAAATAGTATCCAGCACCATTGATTTCCGGTGCATACTTAGTTCGTAACCGTGTTATATACACCTAACTCGATAATTTTTCCCTTTTTGAAACAATTTTTTTGAGGGAGTTGTGGGGATTTAAAAATATTTTAGGTTGTTATTCATCGTAGACTGACATCAGTTGAAGGAAAAAAGGAAACCTGGGAGCGCACTGCTGAGGAGTTCCATACTAGGATGAAGCAGCTGTCCAGTGCTCCTAGGTTTCCTTTATTCCTCCAACTGATGTCAGTCTACGATAAATAACAACTTGAAATATTTCCAAATCCTCACAACCCCTCAAAATTCAATTGAAGCGGTGCTCATTGGTGACTAGCTTCGAGAGGTATTCCCGAAGTTCCAATGAGAAGTCGTGACCGGTGGGGGCAAAGCCTGATGGGAGTGAAGACAGTTACTCATCGACGAAATTGGGTGACGGTTGCGCTATATCGTGAACATTTTTTTTGTCGAATACTGTTGTTAACCTATCCAAGCAACAGTAGTTATTTGCGTAGATATACTGAAAACATCATTTTAAGCTTAGCGAAATGTATACGTGTTTTATGATATCCACGCCCAAACTCTACCACTAATGAATAAATCAGTGTAAAATCCTAGTCGAAATACTCTCAACAACTTTGTACACATTTCGGACAGTACATAACAAGTCACACTTCTATTGTTTGAAGTCTAATGTTACTACTGCCTGACTTGGCCAAATCTCAATAGATAGAGCCCGGTATTTGAACCTCTGATCTAGCGATTGGAAGTCAACTGCTTGAATCGATGAGCTACAGCTCCACTACTTATGTCATGTGTTTATTATTATTATTATTATTATTATTATTATTATTATTATTATTATTATTTATCTACTTTAGTTGAACGTCGTCGTCGAGATCGAATCAATACATGGATTAGTGAGTTATACAAATTACTGCCACCAGATGAACAAACGAAATCACAATATCAAAGTAAAGGTATTGTATTGAAACGTGTCTGTGAATACTTTCAAAATGTGGATAGTATGCTTAAAGCAGCTAATTCAGCAGTTGAACAGGTATGTGTATATGCATGCATCGTTTAGTTCCTCTCAAATTTCACTATTTCGATCTTTGAAATCTGGCAAGTAAAATCCTGTAAAATATATATCCTAAAATCTTATATATTTATATATGCTAACATATATTACAACGTCGCCTGGTTAACTAGTACACTAGTTACTAGCCGGTCCTAAGCCCACATAAAGAAGGAAGGTTGGGCATAGGGCTAGCAACCCTACATCGTAAAATAAACCCAACCGCTACAGAAACTTCAAAGCACAAACAAAATATAAAAAATAATAAACTTATTCCTCGGTGGAATCGGAGAGGCGAAATGACGCCAGTTGGTGAAAGCCTTCGGAAAGCCAATTGGCCGATGTGTCTTCTCTCTATGAAAGCGAAAGTAAACGTGGGGATATGGAATGTCCATACAATGTTTGAACCCAGTAAGGCTGCCCAGATTGCAAAGGAGATGAGAAGGTATCACATTGAAGTGCTTGGAATTTGCGAAAGCAGATGGAATGGAAGTGGATTCTACAAACTGTCAACTGGAGAGGAGTCAATAATCTACTCCGATATTGTCACCCAGACAACAACCACGAGCACACTCAGTTTTGGAGTGCCTGTCATGATGTCTTGTTCAAGAATATCGAAGGCTCTCTCTCATACAGTGGGAACCAGTCTCCTCCAGTATCATAACAGCAAGTTTTAACTCAAAAGGAAGGAAAGTCACAAACAATGCTACGCACCTCTAGATAATGCAGAGGAAGGAGGAATTCTACAGACAACTGCAATTAGCACTGGAGATGACCTCAGTTGGTGGCATCAAAATTTTAATGGGTTGGGCGATATGAGTGCCAAACTGGGAGGGGACAACTCAGGAAGGGAACTAACCATGGGTCGAGAAGCTCACTCAGTATAAAGAACAAGATCCGGATTTTCAACACCAACGTTAAGTCAATGCTCCTATGTGGTTCAGAAACTTCGCGCTTTACGAAAAGCATTCCCAACAAACTACAGACATTCGTGAACAACTGTCTACACTGTCTTGTTACTGAAGATCAGATGGCCAGAATAATAAGAATAGGCAATAAGTAACTCTGGCTGGCTGGCAACGAACCAACGAAGCAAGAAACTATCACTCAACAAATATGCACTGGAAGGAAGTGGAGATGGATTGGGCATACACTGAGAAGGCCGTTCGGGAACATCACGCATCATACCCTCGAGTGGAACCTAGATGAGATATGACGAGTTGGGTGTCCGAGATGAGGGTGACATGGAGGAGACCATGCGAGGAAGAAATGAGAGGTTGTGGGCTGTCGTTGAGCCTGGTTTAAAGGATTGCGGAGAACATAGTGCACTAGAGACGTGCTACTGAAGCCATATGTTTCACTTGGAACCCAAATGACAAATAACAATATAATGAACATGTATTACAACATCTGCTCCCATGTGTTCCGAGAGAGATGAACGCACACATTTCTTCGTCATACTCTGACAAAACCCTTGAAATGTGAAAAGAGTGGAAAGTTTCATCAAACTCAAATTGTAATGTTAACACTATACTGAGGCGGTCTACTTGCAGAAAAAAACTTCACCGACTGTATTCCAGCAAATTCTCCCTTTTAGTTTGTTTTCATCTTTTAAATGTCTTTTGAACACATCATGTACTCTCGCACGTTTTTAAAATGTTTTCGAACTTTCAGGCTCAAAACAAAAAAACGGTAAAACGTTCCGGCGGTTCCAAACGGATTTGTAAATGCTTAAAAATATACCACATTACTATTCCTAGAATACTTACTCGAACACTTATAGGCGTGTTAGAGCCTATGATGAGGTGTCCGGGGAGCTGTGCCCGTCGAGCGGTGTCCACCCCAGGGGCCCACTCTCTCCATTTCTATTCAATCTTATCATAGATACTCTTATACAGGTCTCCCTCTCGTCACCTGACTACACAGAGGTTGACGTAATCGCGGGAAAATGGTCGTTAGACCTAGAATACGCAGATGATATAGTCCTGTCAGGCAAAAACGCTGACTAGATTCAGAGTCTTCTGAACACTGAGTGGTTAACTTGAGAATGTTTGGGATACTTTTCTCATCACCCAAATGCAAATTGTTGCTCTAGGATTGGTCTTCAACTGTGCCTCGCCTAACAATAGAGAGTGAAGTGGTTGAGTGTGTTGACCACTTCACTTACCTAGGAAGTCGGATGAGTCGTGGTGCGTTGATGAGTGGACGACGAAATCTCTGCACAGGTACAAAAGGCTCTGTTGGCTTTTGTCAACTGACGCTATCTGTGGTGCCACCTTGATATGCGATTGTCTATTGAGGATCGAGTGTACTTCCCTACATTGTGCTGTGTTGTAGTGTATGACTGTGAAACATGGCTACTGTGGGTGGAGGAGATGAGAAGGCTTCAAGTGTTTGACCACCGTTGCCTTCGTGGTATATATGTAGGCGGTATTCCGTGGTGTCACCATGTGAGTAACACAGAGGTTCAGGTGTAGAGTTTCAGGTAGGAGAGATAAGTGAGTTGATGCTGTTGTTAATCTTGATCTATTGAGATGTCTGACTGGAATATGTGTTACGTGTGCGTAGTTGCTGTCTGCCTCGTCACATAATGTTGGTCGTAGTAGGTTGAGGCTGTAAGAAGTCGCGAGTTGGCCAGACTAGAACATGGCATGAATGTATGAAGTCTGACTGTTGGTTTGTGCCATGTGGGGGTGATGGAGACTAGGTGGTTGGGGTCCGTGGGACAATAGGAATCAGTGGTTGGAGACTGATTGTAAGTGGATGACATGGCTGAGAACCGATGTGAGTTGGGCAGATGTATATACACATTATATTATCCTCATGTTAACCTGTCTACCGCATCTCATCACTTTCTCTCCCCCCTTCTCTCTCCCTCTCTCTCTGTGAGTAGTTTATATTTCTTTTGACTGAATTTTGTTTTCTTCATCTCCCAGTTCACTGCTTTATCGCTTTATGTAGTGATATGAGATGTGGCAAATTGGACCGTTACACAGTATCGCCTGGTGCTATATTGATTTGGATGGATGGATGAAGTGAACTTTATGTAACTCCGGTTTATTGACCTAACTGTTCGACTTTCAAGGATTGGGTTCTAGGTTTAAATCCTACCCCATCTTCTTTGTTCTTAATAACTGGATGTTACCATAACTTGTCACACACACACGGTGTGTGTGTGTGTGTGTGTGTGTGTGTGTGTGTGTGTGTGTGTGTGTGTGTGACAAATAGTCCAGTGCCTAAACTCACTGGTAAAAAGGTTCAACGAACATAGTTAATGAACTGTCAAAATCATAATATTTGTTCCGTTCCTCAAAAATTAAGTATGCAGTGTAGAAAGAAAAGCAGAATCAACGTAGAACCTCGCACACAAGTGCTTTGGTTCGAGTTATCACAGTTCACAGTAGTATACAAAGAACAAATGGATAGAAAATGAGCGATGTCAAAGTAGACTATAGTGAATGGGAGATTAGGTTGAGCTTAAAAATAAGGTTTACGAATACATCCAATCTTTAAAAGACATCAAAGAGTGAGTACGTAGTCTACACCTTAAGCTGCTCAGACTGACAGTCAAGGACTTCATTCATTGGTACCGTATCCCGATTTGTCTACTCTAAGCCTTCTTGCAACCTGATCCCGCTTCTGCCAGCATTGCTTGCTGGGGTTGGTAGACAGTGGTTCAATAACATCTCTAAGCTACCTTAGTCCCTGAAGGTTTACAATGTCATCGACTGACTTTCTTTCTTTCTTTGTGCGATACCTTTCTCCTGACCTTGACATTACTAACATGGTTCAACTATACGTCAGCAATGCTACGAAGATAGATGCATGTGGTCATAAATCTGTGATCGCTTCATATCGTCCACTTTTAACGGCCATATCTCAGCTGTGTAAGGGAACAGAACGGACTGCAGCAAAGCATAGTCGTCTTTTAGTAAGTAGGCAGATATTTCGCCAGTGTGTGCCACAGATGACGCGATTTTATCAAATGCCAAATAGGCTTTCTGTATGCAAACTGAGATTTCACCAGCAACCAGCCCGTTCGCCAGGGAATATGAACGATTGAATTCCGACCCAGTGGCTTAATGGTACCATACAGGCTGCGAAACCCAAAAGTTCTAGATTGGATCCCTTTTGGAGTGGGGTCGTGGGTACTCACTGACGAGGAGGAGTCCCACACTAGGACAAAACAGCTGTCTATTCCCCAACTGATGTCAGTCTGTGATGAATACTAAACGTATGATTGTTAAGTCACAGTCCACGTGGTAAGAAAATTGATATGTGCGTAAATTATATATAAATTCCTACAACGAAACAATAGGCTAGCTCTTAAGTTTTACCAATCCATAAAGCATAAAGATAGGCGTGTGTATAGTCAGTCAGTCATGATTTTAGGTGCAATTGATCGTCTACTACCACTACTACTTCTGTTGCTGCTGCTTTCAACACGTCTACCAGTACTTGTTTGCACAGGTTTTTTAATATATCGTTTGTGTGTGCGTGTCTGTTTCCTGTTAGTACATGAGGACAAATCTACTAGGCTTATCAATTGTTTCACTTGGCATTATTATTAGTAGTTAATGGTAATCAATTATTTATTAGCTAATCACTTTTTTTCTACACTTATATTTCTTCAACATAATTGTTATTATTACTAATAGTAGTAGTAGTAGTTAAGCTAAGTGGTGGTTAAGCTTAGGATTGTTTTGATTATTTTTCCAATTCATGCACAATTAAACAAAAGTATGGACATGTTTACTAGTTGAGTTTTACTATATTGAAGAAGAACAAAATAGCTAGTTGTCAATAAAAGTTGGGTTGTTTCGTTCCACTGAAATGATGTTGTGTTAACTCGGACAGGTTTTATCAGAGTGTTTACATTACTGCATTGTATCCAGGTCTGACTGACTGACTTACAGTCGACTTTTTCAACACACTGGAGGTACGACTTACACAGAGAAAATCTTTCCACTTACAATGTTATT